ATCTGGCGCTGCAGTTCACAATTTCAGAGCCTTTGTACTTTACAATCAATTCCAAATTATTTTATTTTATTTCTTTCATTCAATTAATTTCTCATTTTGTTTTTGAAAATTGAATTTATTGGAAATTAATTTTAATTGAAACTCAGAGAAAAATTTTCAAATAAATACCAGATATACGGAGGATCTGACCCCAAATCACAAGCCCGGATGGATTCTCCCCTGCAATTGAAATTTTGGTAAGACTTCAAAACTTCAACAACGGTGTGTAAACTATAGAGGTTAAGGATTTACCAGATATCTGTGGCCCGGTCTAGCTCCTCTTCAGATAAGAGGCGAAAACCGATCCTTTTCACAATCCAGAAATGGGATCCGTTAGATCCGTCAGTAACGTCAGTCTTTACTTTAATATTGAATCTCTTGCATTCATTCACCAAACTTGGTGTTCTCCAACAGCTGACCCACATGACTCCACCTTTATGGTCCTCAAAGGGCGGGGAAAGGCGGGTATGGTAGTGACGAGAAAAATCCTCATCCTCTATTGTTATAGCTAAAGTTGAATGATCAGGATCTATAATATGACAAATAACACATACTGCAAGCCCTTGGAAACTTCGACTTGAAACTCGAACTCGAGGCACATCTACAATTGTACAAGCAACATTATCCTCATGATTAAACCCACAGGGCATCGTTCCTTCGGGAAGAAAGATGTTATAAATCGGCTCCATATAATCAGGAAAACCCTGCAACACGGACAATTCATTTAAAAAAAAGAAAGAAAGAAAAAAGCCTTGCCACATAAAAAAATGAGAATTGTGTCTTCTTAACTTTGGAAAATTTGAAAAGGACAGAGAGCAAGAGAGTAACCTGAATGGGACGATCCTTACTCCAAGTATGTATGAAGTCTCTGAAAAAATGCGAGCACTTCTTTAGCGAAGCCTTCAATCCCAACAAGTGCTCTAACTTAGCAAGTTGCTTGCCAGTTAAAGGTTCCACATCGTAGCAGTGCATATGTGAACAAAAGATTGGTCTAGCACTACTGTCACTGAGCCCTCGTTTGAATGTTACTTTCTCCAAAGATTTGCAATGGTATGAGATGGATATCTTGCATGGTTCAAATTCTATTACTTTGAGCTTATTGCACAGCAGTAGGGAAACCCTGGTGTTAAGAGGAAGGGAAGTAAGATCAACTGGTAGGCTGCAGAAGTTGTTTTTGCATAAATTCAATTCCCACAAAAAGGGGCTTCCAACAACCAAGGGACCTGATGTATCTGATAGATCACATTCAGAAACATCAAGCTCTTTTAACTTTGGCAAATTTGATAGAAAAATTGGTAAGTGTTGAAAAGCGTTTCCTTTTAGAAGCAAGGTCTCCAAATTTTGTAAGCCACTGAGATCTCTGGGAAATGAATTCTCTGATAGTTTGCAGAACGACAGATTCAATTCTTTTACAGAAGTCAGACTCCATAGAGGAGACAAATTGTAGATACCTGGACTTCCAAGCAAAGATCCCCCATTGCTCCAAAAGAAATTTGTAAGATTCTTGAGATGGCCAATGGACATGGGCAAATGCTTGATGGCAGTGCAGCCTATATTAAGCTCTTTCAAACTTTCCATGTTCCCAAAATCCTCTGGTAACTCCTCTAGTTTTGAGCAGAGATACAAGTTAAGATTCTCAAGGAACCTTAACTTACAAATCTCTGTAGGAAGATGAACAAGGTTCTGGCAGTTTACCAAGTCCAGGTAAATGAGTTTGCTAAGATTGCCAATGGACTGATGAACCTCGATCAAATTAATGCAGCCTTTGAAGATCAATTTCTCAATGTTTAAAAGACCTGAGATGTCTGAGGTTCCAATTAAGTCATGCGAGTGACTGAGATCAAGGACTTTAAGATTTTTAAGAACCTGCAAAAAGGACAAGCATCATTTAATGTTTATATAAAGAAATGGTAACTCTAGTCAAGGATAATCCTACCCGAAACAAGAAATATATACACCCATACCTTTGATACATCCCAAATATATTTGAGTTTGCTGTTCCTTAAACTCAGAACAACCAAGTTTTTGAGATTTAAACTTGATGGTATGGATACCTGAGGATATCTTTCCCAACACAACCATCTTAACTCTTTAGAAAAATATTCAAAGCTTCCAACAAAGTCAGCATTTCTAAGTTGGAGCATTCTTATATTGCTCATCCGTGCAAGTGCTTCAATACTAAATGGTTTCTCCCTTGTTTCTGGGAAGAACCCCTTAAGACCTATGACTCTGTTTGTACCCTGATGACAATAAGAAATAACAATGTTTTACATAACAATCAATGTACTACTTAAACAATTTATTGGAGACTGGACACTAAGCAAAGGCAATTGATGCTTACCTTATGGTGTTTCAAAACCTTACGAACATCTTTATAAAAGGACAGTCTACTGCGCTCACCAGGTTCACCACGATTCTCTTCACGAACAATTTCTCTTGCCATCTCTTGAAGCAGATCATGCATTCCCAGCTTCTTTCCTCTTATTGTTAAGAGGCACTTTTGGATAAGACTACGTAGATTGATTTTTGTATGGAATCCACAACCATCTAGTATTTGAATTGTATTGTCTTCATCCAT